TGTGTGAAGTGAGTGTGAAGAGTGTGTGACTGTGAAGAGCGTGTGTTGCTTTCTGTCACCAAGCAGTATATTGAAAATATTGTGTATCAGTATCTAACTCCTGCCCTCAGCAGCTGATAGCTGGTCTCTGCATAATCTAAAGACTCAAAATCGAGAATTAATCAAGCTTAGCTTTTCACCATCAATATCTTTAGCCATCAAGCAAGCATTTATGTGCTTTTCTAATTTCCCCATCCTATTTTCCATCCTTAGCAGCTTCAGCATAAAAGCAAAGGAAAAGTTCTACCTCAGCAAAGCCATTACCGTTGCATGTATGAACAAATTTTAGCAATCGTAGAAGACAGATGTCCTCCTTGAGTTGCCATTTAAAAGGTCCAAGCTAATACTTCCTAGACTTGCTTGTTGAAATGAGTTAGCTTTTGTAACGAAATTTTCCAACTATTCTGTAGAATAGCTCATCGCAGTGCTCTTACACATCAGGAACAGTCAACCTGCAAGAACAGGACACCCAGTAACAGAGTATGTACCATGACAATTGCATTATAATTTAGTGAGCCAGTTGTGTGATACACATTTAGCTGGTTACTGTTCTCAAACATCTCCAAAATAATTTGTGGAGAAATTTATATAATAAACTTTCCATTTGCAAGAAATGTTGTATGTGTACGCTGTTCCTCCAGGGTCACAGCATCTACACTGTGCTTCAGGCAACAATATCCAAGTGTTAAGGGCTCCCAACAGTGCAGTTTGACACTTTTGAGAACCAATGGGCAAAAGTAATGTCATAGAATCCCTACAATGTGGAAACAGGCCCTTCGGCCCAACAAGCCCACACCGAACCTCAGAGCATCCCACCCAGACCTATCCCCCTATAACCCACCTAATCTACACCTCTCTGAACACTACGGGCAATTTAGCATAGCCAATCCACCTAACCCGCACATCTTTGGACTGTGGGAGGAAACCGGAGCACCCGGAGGAAACCCACGCAGACACGGGGAGAATGTGCAAACTCCACACAGACGGTCGCCCGAGGCTGGACTCAAACCCGGGTCCCCGGCGCTGTGAGGCAGCAGTGCTAACCACTGTGCCACCGTGCCTCCCAAAAGTCATGCCTCTTATCACCTCAGAGCAGTGGTAAGCTTCACACACTTTGGATCATCCTGTGCATAATAACACTGGCCTGCTGGATGATCTGACATTTAAGAAAAAATCCCTTTGCACCCAACCCAACCACGAACTCAACCTGAACCTCCTCTCCCGCCTTTCCATTATTAAGGAATTGCAAGGATTTTTGTTTGTTTTAATATAAGCTGTTCATGGGATGTGAACTTTGCTGACTAGGCCAGTATTTATTGCCCATCCCTAATGTCCCTTGGTGTTACTCGACCACAAGTTGCAGAAAACAACAGTGAATGACAGGCAGGATTATTAATGTACAGATTGTCCAGCACATTCATGGAATTAGGTAATGCATCATGACCTTGTGAATTTCAGAACTTTCTGGTCAATATACACTGTCAACCTTGAGCTTCTCACAAACAGTATCATACCCTGGAGAATTTGCTAGATTTGGATATTAATTATTGACTAAACTTGCTGCCGGAAGTTAAACCTATTAACAGCGTGACTCCCCTTTAAGGCTGGGACAATCATTAATGATAGCCAATCAAGCTCTTTGGCCCAGAAAAGAAATAATTTAAATAGTACAGTCTAGTTCTTTCAGGCAGCGAATTATTACTGGAGATTTGAATGCTTTTCTCTTGCTTTTCCTTTCTGTCTCTTAATCCAAACTTTTGAATCTATTTATTTCTCATTCTACATCTGATCTCATTCTATTTTGCCTCTTTATTTTCTCAAAGTTTAACTTTCACTGGCTCATGTGATACATTGCTGGCCACAGAATTCACTAAATTTCCAGATGCCTAAGCCATGTTGTCACCAAGGCATACTTAATGCAAGTTATTTCGAATTAGTTTCAATCTGAGGGTGCAGGGAAAGGTTTAAGTAAAGACATACAACATGTACATCATCATCCCACACTAGTAAGTTCCAGCCCTATTTTCAGACCCCCATCATGTGCTAATAATGAGAAAGATTTGAATGTCAAGATTAGACCAAATAAATGAGGGCCAAACACCTCACTATAGCAGATGAGAAAAATAGCACAATTCCAGCTTCCTGGAGGCCACTGTATGCAAAAAAATGGCATGGTATGTAATTAGTGCTTATGGCACTGACTCTATAATTTAGCAATAACAGATCTGTCATTCTTGTCTGTTCAGATGCTGTCAGCTGGACTTCCTGAGCTGGCTGAGGTCCAGGACCTGAAGTACGTTTACAATAACTTGCGACCAAAGGACTCGGATGCACAGGCCACCTCTTACTTCACAAGGTTGAAAGTTGGGTTTTTGCTTTTCCTATTCACTATCCTACCTGTCTGTGTCTAAGTTCGATAAATTTAATTAAGTAAGTTTGTACCATAGATTAGACAGCTACTTACACCAACCCTTAACAAATAAGCTTTATAATTACTACAGTAAAATAGCTGATTAATGAAGCAAAGCAGTCAATGGCTGGGACCATGTTCAAGTTCCTCTAGGATTACTTGGCAGTAAGCCCTCTCCAATCAATTATTTAAATATAGAAGGGTTGCTGAGAAATATGTAATAGCATATGTGTTGCATTAACATGGATTATTTGAATTAACAGTTTACACCCAAGTATTTCAAAAAGAAAATTGAATAGAATCAATAGAACTCAAGTTTGATAATAGAATTTGGAACAGTCCATTTAATATGTGGAGCAGTCTGAATTATCTGTGATAGCTAAGCTTTTGCAATTCCTTTGCTGAAAAAATGCAATCCATCAGGTCCAAGGGACTTATTGGCCTTTAGCCCCTAATGCTCCTACCCTCGGTTTTCCCCAGAATCTTTCTCTAGTAATAGTTCTTGTGTTTATTTCCTCCCTCCATCTCTCACCACTAAGGCCCCTTGATTATTTAGTACTTTCAGAACACTATTACTGCACCCTGATGACAGATGCAAAATATTTATTCAACTCCTCTGCCATTTACTGATTTCCATTATTATTTCCCCAGCCTCATTTACTAAATATATTGTACATTGTCAATACATTCTTAAATATTGACTGTAAATAATATTAACTATCGCCGCCTATGCAATGATGTTAAGCTGACCTCGTCATAACTCACCAGTGAAGACTGAAATTCAAAACTCACATGTAAGATATACAGAATTTTTACAAATCTGTGCAAAACAATTAGCAATTCTAAGTCCCCCTGCAGTGCTGAAGTAATTGTAAAAGATTCACATTTATTCACCAGTAAAATCACTGACCAGTGTGTGTGAAATTTGACTGAACTCACAATGCACGATCATTAAAAACAGAATTCAGGCCAGAGCACTGGAAATGTTCCAGAGTAACTGAAGGTGTTTATTGGATGTTGATCATGTTTAACATTCTATGACACAGACCAGTGAAATCAATTCCTTTCATTTACAGCTTGATAAAGGAAAGCCTGAGAAGCCTACCGGTGAGAATTAATTTTGTCGCCCACATCTTAGCGCAGATGAAATTGGCAGGGCCAGGTGTCCAGCCAGGCCTGTCCTTTGCACCAGAAAAGTATACATTAGAGACAGACGGTCTAATAAGGTGTGTGGCAGTGTGTGGTTATGAGAAGAAAATTGTTCCCCATAAGGATTATGTAAGTACCATGGAGATTTAGACATATGCTTAACACTGGGTTGCACTAGACTTGAAAAAGTTTGTAATTATGAGTTGTGGAAAATTCTTTCTGAGACTAACTCGCTTTTAGTTTTGTGAAATCACTCAGTCTCTTTTTAGAAAGGTCAATCTGAACGTGCAGGGTACAATATGAACAGAGGTTACTGAAAGTCCACAAGCAGCTCACACTTCTAAATAATATATGCAAATTCAAAAACTGCTTTGCACCCTTGGCTGTAGGAGCGAGAGTTTAATTTTCTTTGGAAACCAGATGCAGATTGTGTGGTTTCCAAGGTCTTCCAAGGGGTGAAGATGATTCCGAAACTGGTTCCAGTGCCAAGTTAAACTGAGTTAGAGGCTACAATGTGCACTGCCCACAAGACAAAACAACCCAACGAGGCTTCTTCAGCAATATTTCCTGAACTCAGGACCTCCATTACTTAGAAGGAAAGGGGGCGGTAGTTGCCTGGAAACACCATCACCTGCAATTCCCCTTCCAGGTTACACACCATTATTTGAACAAATATCACCCGTGCCTCACTGCGGCTGAAGTAAATCCTGGAAATCTCTCCCGAATAGCACTGTGGGTGTACTCACACGGTATGGACTGCATGCATTCAAGAAAAGGGCCCTTCACCACTTTCTCAAGGGGACCAATTAAAGAATAAAGAAAGACGCGATAAGCAAGAAAATCAGGGACACCAAAATGAATAAAAGGGCACATGGGGATCTTTGACCTATGCCAGCAGAAGATGAACACACATAATGTAGTCAATAGATGTGAAGCTGGAGAAGCACAGCAGGTCAGACAGGAGCAGGAAAGTCAATGTTTTGGGCCAAAACCCTTCATCAGGACTGGGGAGGAGGAGGGGAACCTAGAAGTAAATAGAGGGAGTGGGTACGGGCTGGGGGGAGGGTAGGTGGGATGGTGATAGGTGGATATAGGTAGGGGGTTATTGTGATTGCTCAGTGGAAAGGGTGGAGTGGATAGGTGATAGGAAGATGGACAGATTAGGTCAGGTCAGGGAGATGAGGTGGAGGGGGAGGCTGGAACGCTGGGAGTGGAGGGATTTTGAAGCTGGAATAGTCAATATTAAAGCCTGTAAGCTCCCAGGGCAATATATCAGGTGTTGTTCCTCCAGCTTACGTTGGCCTCATTCTGACAGTGGAGGAGGCCAAGGATGGACATGTCACCAGGGGAGTGGGAGGGGGAATTAAAATGGATGGTAACTGGAGAGAGCACAGATGCTTCCTGAACCAGTCCCCGAGTCTGCGTTTGGTCTTCCCGATATAGAGAAGACTACATTGGGAGCAACGGATACAATAGATAAGGTTGGGTGAAGTCCAGGTGAATGTCTGCCAGATCTGGAAGGATTGTTTGGGACCTTAAACGGAGATGAGAGGGGAGGTGTAGGGGCAGGTGTTACACCTCTTGCCGTTGCAGGGAAAGGTACCGGGTGTGGTGGAGAAATTGTTGGGGAGTGTGGAGCTGAGGAGGTAGTCGCTGAGCGAACAGTCCCTGTGGAAAGTGGACAGGGGTGAAGAAGGAAATATCTTTTTGGTGGTGGAGTCTGATTGTAGGTGGCAGAAATATCGAAAGATGATTTGTTGGATTTTGAGGTTGGTGGAGTGGTATGTGAGGATGAAGGGGACTCTATCCTTTTTGTTGTTTGGGAGGGGGTTTGAGGGCAGGTGCAGGAAATGGAGGAGATGCGGTTGAGGGCATCCTTAATTATAGAGGAAGGGAAATCCCAGTCCCTAAAGTCTGCAGGATACCTGGTAATAGTAATGGTAAAACTTAAACTCCAGCTGGCAGTTAGGTATCAGACACCAGTAATTTATTTTCTTTCTGCTGTCAATGTCAATGTGATAGAAATAGTTTCAAAGATAGTGGTTGCCCTAAGTTACCTTGTCCAAATAGCCATTCATGAGGGGTGTCAAAAGCAGGCCAGCAGGGAGGCAATGGCCTAGTGGTATTATAGAGTCATAGAGTCATACAGCATGGGAACAGACCCTTTGGTCCAACTCGTCTATGCCGACCAAGTTTCCCAAATTAAACAAGTCTCACTTGCCTCTCTGGACTGTTAATCCAGAGATAAGTAATATTCTGGCAACCCGGTTTTGAATCCTGCCATGACAGATGGTGGAATTTGAATTCAATGAAAAACATCTGGAATTAAGAGTCTAATGATGACCATGAAACCATTACCAAAAGTCAGAAAAGCCCATCCGGTTCATTGATATATCTTAGGGAAGCAAACAGTTGGCCTTACTTGGTCCAGTTTACATGTGACTCTAAACCCACAGCTAACATTGTTGATTTTCCCCTGCCCTCTGGACAATTAGGGATGACAAATAAATGCTGACCCAACCAGTGATGCCATCAACCCATGAATGAATTCTAAACAAAAAACTGACTGCCAAGTCAATGCACTCAAGCCCAAGGAACATTGTCACTCCCTGTAAAACATGATGCCTTATCCAGTAGACAGTCCTGAATAATACTCAAAGATTTCCCTTCCATGGTGCACAGAGGCCAAAGGTTGCAGTGTTACCAACTCCTAGGCTGAGAATAGCTGGCATGGTTCAAACTGGTCGTCAAACCTGGAGACTTTACGGAATTCTATGACTCCCCACTTCAGGTGACTAATGCGTCAGTTTGAACCATCAGAATTGGCAGCTCCGAGGATTGTCCTCCACTCACTGAGAATTGAAGATTGATCTCCAGGACACTGCTTCAAACATTGCAGGAGACAAGTCATTTGGGCAGTGAAACAAATGAGGATTCTTTGAATAATTCTAATTATTATTTATTAACCATTTTTGAGACGGGGGTGGGTAAAAGGACTGTTTGACAAACAATGCTGATTAATCCAGCTGGTGTTTTGCAGTTGGCAATGTGGCTGGATGCTGGACCAATGATAGCGTCGTTTGCTTTGAGAAGTCATGTGTTGAAACCTCCAGAAATAGGTCCAGAGTTGGCTAACCAACCAGCAGAGATTATATTATCACAGAATGTTTACAGCATCATTTGGGCATAAAACCTAAAACATATTAAATGGGCAATACTGGATTCCAACATAGCTGGAAACATAAAGCAAGCTGACTTGAATAATCCCACTCACATAGTCCCATGTTTACAGAACACAAAGGACCCACTTTCCTTGTACGCAAATCATAACCCTTTTTAGACTTGGCTTAAGGTTGACCCAGTGAATTAATTAACTGCAGATGAGAGCTCTACACTCCAATATGGTGTTGTGGAAAATATCTTTCCTCTTTTAATATTTCTGGGGACTTCGGAACTGCAGTTATTTTGCAAAGAAACCTCGCTCGGCAAGCTGAGAAATGCTGATAACTAAGTGAAAAATGCACAGAGGTCAGAAAGATTACATTCTATCAACCTTTAAGTAGCTCAAGAGTGCTGCTTGTCAAATGCCGTGAACCCACATAATGAGCATCTATGCTGAAATCTTAGGATATATTCTGCAAGGCTCCTGCCACACAATAATTCATTTTGAAATCATACAGGTAGAATTTATCTGCTTTTCCTAACCACTCCTACATCTGACTTCATTTCAGTTTTATAAGATACAAGTAGAACGAGAAGGGCAGAGTCAGGCTACCTTCATTGAAAGAAACTTCAACCAATTTGATGAGCTCAACAAACAGCTCCACTGCTGCTTTCCAGCATCAGAGTTACCGAGGTAAGGAATGATGATTAGGTGTCTTGGCTGCTCTAAAGGCAGTTCCTTTAAAATATCATCAAGTCCATTCCCCTGCCATGCAATTGTCCCTCGACCCAATAATCCCCCACCCTCCGTCCTCACTCTGCCTTGAGAACCACCCCTCACTCCCCGCACTACTAACAGGCACTTTGACACTGCCTTGCCATTCAGTAAAGTTGGAACCTCCTCCTCTCCCTTACTTGGTTATCTTGTAAGAGAGAGCAGGAAATCTCCCTAATTCCCACCACAGCAGATGATGGAATTTCAATTCAGTAAAGAATCTGGAAGTAAGGGCCTAATGCCCATGAAGCCATAGCTGATTGTCAGAAAAATGCATCTGGTTCAGTAACGTCCTTTAGAGAAGGAAATCTGTCATCCTTACTTCGTCTGACCTACATGTGCCGCCAGACCCACAGCAATTGTTGACTTTTAACTGCTCTCTAGGCAATTAGGGATGGGCAATAAGGGCTGCCCTAGCCGGAGATACCCACGACCTATGACTGAATAAAAAAGAAATGAGAGTTCTCATGTCTTTAGCCAAAAGTAGACGTGGCATATTCATTAAGGCACCAAGGGAGGAAGAAACACGCGGGTGTCCAATGCAGCAAAATCCACATCAGGACTGAAGTTTTGAGCCCCCTGAGGTGAGGCAACCCACATTGTTAACTTAGACGTCTACTCTTAGACGTCTACTCCTAGGGCCTGTAGAGTCCCTTATTTAAATTTGGCTGTGAGAACTCAACAAAGCCCTCCTCCAGCTGCCCACTAATACCCAACTGCACAGCCTGGAATGGCCATTCAGATACAGCCTGAAACTTAGAAAACAAATTTGTCAAACTGTTGCTTCTGACTCCAAAATAGAGGATATGTTTCCTCTTGTAGAAATCATGACATTAACCTTTCTGCAGTTCTGAATAAGAGTCCAATGGCATCAAAATGTTAATTCTATTTCTCTCTCTACAGTTGCTGCTAGACCTGCTGAGTTTCTCCTGCATTTTCTGTTTCAGATTTCCAGCATCTGCAGGAGTTTGCTTTTAAATGACATTAACATTCCTGCTTCTTGCTTAACATTTTCAATTGCTGCCACTGAATGAATTTCTTGGCTTTTTCCACTGAGTCATTTCATTCGGTAGGATTTTACATCTCGATTTTGGAAATGGGACCATTTAAGGCTTGCCTATACTCAGAGTTTCTTTATGCCACTTATGATTTAACAATTGCCTAGCCATTTAATTAATGCGATGTCAATGCAACTCGAGACTGCCAGGCCGCTGTATGGAATTAAGCAGAGCAATGAATTTGTACAGCCCTATTTGCATTGGAGCTGAAGAATTTGCTTCCATGTTTCATCAGCCTGTGAGTTTCAAAATGAGAAACAGCCCTTCATAATTCAAGTGGTGAAAGCTGTGTGCTGGAGGAGTGTGTAAATTAGTTTCCTGTTTCTGGCCTTGCTTGTAATGATTTATTTAAATATCCACACATTGAAATTTTTTTGCTTTTTCATGTAGAAGGTGAAAACAGCCATGAGAGCTGTAAACCATTCTGCTGATTTTTCTATACTGAATGCATGACTGAAGATTATACTGTTCCCTCAGCAGATTTACACATTTCTTATCGTCCTAACATGTACCGCATAGATGACACTTTTTTGTCCTCCATACAGGCCTACTTGCAACTCACCAATTATTGTCACTAAACATACTGAACCTGCTGCTCACTTAGAGTCTCTTGCCTCTTAAGAATTCTGAATGATTTGCACCTTCAGTTCAGATCCAGAAGGAGGAAGAGGAAACGCATGTTCATTCTCTGATCTCTCCCCTTTCCCCAGCAGCCTCTCACCCCAAAACATCACCCACCCTTTCACCAACCCACGCTGTTTAATCTGTGTCAAAGAATTAAATCTTTGGGTGACCAACCACACTAACATCAGGCCTTTCCATGTGAGTCCCATGCATGGTTACATTGTTTAACCTGCCTGCCCACATGTATGACATAGTGAATGAAACCAGTCCAAGATTGCACATGCAGTTATTCTCTGGGAGGTACTGGAATGTGCTAATAAATTTCTCCCCACCCTAATGTCTCAAACTGACAGTTACAAGTTAAAGTGGCCCATTAAGTTCCAGCTTCTCTTTGTTTTAGCACCTTTGCTTTTAAATGTTTTTAAAAGTAGAGAAATTAACCTTTTGCAACCCGAGCCTGACTTATCTGTCAAAGAAAATTTCAGCTTTCTCTCAAAGTTTCTTGAAGTTGGTGTTATGGAAATGTTGGGAATCTGACGACTTTAGCAAGTCAAGTCTGCAGTACTCCAGGGTACTGGTTGATTTAGCAGGCAATCTGGCTCACGGATAAGAGCTGGAATGTTAGTTCTGTTATTGGGAGCAGGGAGTTCCTCCAGTTACCTCTACAAGCCAACACTTAGTCACTGTTCATTCAGAACTTCCCTGAGGTTTAGAAGTGCACTGTAGTCCAGCAATCTCCTCATGCAGAAGACTCTTAAGGCTAGGTGGAGCCTGTTCCAGAGGACACCAGTATCCAGGATGCCAGAGTAACCATTGGAATTGCATCCTGCATATACTGCGGGACAATGCTGAGATTACTCTAATTGGTTTAAACCAAAATTCTGTTCGTTTTTTTCTGTAATTATTATCCTATAGTAATACTCCATTCTATAATTAAACCAAAATTATATAATTATCACAGATATCGAGAATGAAAAGTAGAACACAGTTAAAATGTTTCAAAGACAAAGGAATGAGATTGGATGAACCACCTAGCATCAATCAAGACAGTCAAATGACAAGGGCCTATTTAGCCCTGTTGATCTTGCAAAGTCTTCCTTACTGACATCTGGGGGCTAGTGGGAAAATTGGGAAAGCTGTCTCACAGACTAATCAAACAACAACCTGACACAGTCATACTTACCGAATCATATCTTACAGACAATGTCCCAGACACTGCCATCACTATCCATTGGTTTATCCTGTCCCACTTGCTGCACTGACCCAGCAGAGGGGGCAGCACAGTGGAATGAGGGAGCGAGGGTATTGCCCTAGAAGTTCTCAACATTGACTCCAGACCCCACGAAGTCTCACAGCATCAAGTTGGAAACCTTCTGCTCGTTACAACATGTTACATCTCCTCAGCTGATGAATCAGTGTTTCTCCTTGTTCAGCACCAGTTAGATAAAGCATTGAGACAGGGTGAGGGCACAGAATGCACTCCATTATGTTGCTTCATTATTCACGACCAAGACTGGCTCAGCAATGCCACTACCAACTAAGCTGGGAAAGTCCTAAAGGAAGAAGCTGCTAGACTGGGGCTATGGTCAACAAGATGGAAAAAAATATTTGGCCTCATCTTCACCAATCTGTCTGTCACAGACATATCTGTCCATAACAGAATTGGAAGAAGTGACCACCACACAGTCTTTGTGGAGACTAAGACCTGTCTTCATATTTGAGAATATCCTCCATCATGTTGTGTGGCACTATCACCATGCTAAATTGGATAGACTTCAAACAGATCTAGCAACTCAAGACTCAGTATCCACAAGGCACTGTGGCCCATCAATAACCACAGGGATATACCCTGGTTCAAAGGAGATTGTAGGAGAGCATGCCAGGAACAGCACCAGGCACACCTAAAAATGAGGTGCCAAGATAACAAAGATACAACACAGGACTGCTTCCGTGCCATACTACATATCAGTAAGCGATAGATAGAATGAATTAATTCCACAACCAACTGCCAAATTGAGATGTGAATGGCAGTGAACAATTAAATAACTCACTGGAGGAGGAGGTTCCACCAATATCCCCATCCTCAATGATGGGGAGCCCAGCACAACAGTACGAAAGTCAAGTGTGAAGATTTGCAGCAACCTTCAGAAAGAAGTGCTGAGTGGATGATCCATCTCTGGAGGTCCCATCACAGATGCCAGTCTTCAGCCAATTCAATTCATTCCACGTGATGTCAAGAAATCACTGAACCCAATGGATACTAGAAAGGCTATGGGCCCTGACAATGTTCCAGCAACAGTACTGAAGACTTGTGCTGCAGAACTTGCTGTGCCTCTGAACCAAGCTGTTTCAGTACAGATCCAATCCTAGCATCTAGACAATGTGGAAAATTGACCACGTATGTCCTATCGACAAATCCAATTACTACCCTATCAGTCTTCTCGATCATCAGCAAAGTGATTCAAGGGATGGTTGACAGTGCTTTCAAACAGTATTTACTCAACAATAAACTGCAGACTGCTGCTCAGTTTGGTGTCTGCTAGGTCTACTCCAATCTTGGCCTCCTTACAAACTGAGTCTATATTTGGGAAAAAAGTATGGAAAATGAGGGTCATTACCCTTACATCAAGGCAGCATTTGATTGAATGTGGTATCAAGGAACCCGAGCATAAATGGAGTCAATATGAAGTGGGGGAAATTGCTTCATGAGTTGAAGTCTTACATGCCATGAAGGAAGACAGTTGTGGTTGTTGGAGATCAATCATCTCAGCTCCAGGACATCTCTGCAGGAGATTCTCAGGGTAGTGTCCTAGGCCCAACCATCTTCAGCTGCTTCATCAATGACCTTCCCTCCATCATAAGGTCAGAAATGGCAATGTTCATTGCTGATTGCACAATGTTGAGCACCATTTGCGACTCCTCAGAAACTGAACAGAGTCATGTCCAAATGCAACAAGACCCGGACAATATCCAGGTTTAGGCTGACAGATGGCAAGAAATAGTCATGCAACATATGTGCCGGATAATGATCATCTCCAACAAGTGAGAATCCAATCATCAGTCCTTGACATTAAACAGCATTCCTATCACTGAATTCCCCACTGTCAACATGGTGGAGATTAGCACTTACCAGAAACTGAAGTGAATTATTACAGTCTGGGACTAGAGGTCAAGGACTATAAATACTGCAGTGTGTAACTAACCTTCTGACTCCCCAAAGCCTGTCCACCATCTATAAGGCATAATTCAGGGGTCTGATGGAATACTCCCCACTTGCCTGGATGGGTACAGCTCCAACAACGCTCAAAAGTGTGACGCCATCCAGGACAAAGCAGCCTGCTTGATTGGCACCACATCCACAAGCATCCACTCCCTCTACTATTGATGCTCAGGAGCAGCAGTGTCTACTACCTACAAGATGCACTGCAGAAATTCACCAAGGATCCTTTAACAACACCTTCCAAACCCACATCTACTACCATTTAGAAGGACAAGGGCAGGAGGTACATGGAACACCACTACCTTCAAATTCCCTCGGGTCACTCACCTCCCTGACTTGGAAGTATATCACCATTCCTTCAGTATCACTGGGTCAAAACTCTAGATTCCTTCCTTAATGGCATGTGGGTCTACCTACAGCATTAGGACTGCAGTGGTTCAAGAAGGTAGCTCACCACCTTCTTCTCAAGGGAATTGGGATGGGCAGAAATTAATTCTGGCCCAGTCAACGACACCCATATCCGATAGAATGAATAAAAGAAAATACTGGTTTTCTCCTCTTAATTCAAAGCTAAAACTGAAATTGATGTTTCAATTTCTGCATTTGACATCTCCATAAGCTTTAAGCTCCCTCTTTAATATATCTTATTAAATTGTTTAATTAACCTGTTGGATAGTGTAGTGATTGTAACAAGGTCAGCCATGAGGATCTCAGAGAATGTGCTCCCTGATTGGGGCTGTTAATCTGGTCCAATGAGGGAGCCCAAGCTGACAGATATAAATGCAAGTGTCAGACAGCCTGCCACAGTGAGAGCTGGATCACTGTCAAGGACTCTCCATGTGTACATAAAGGGTGATTTGTTGATGGAATACTGGCCTTTGTGGAGTTATTTCAGATAGCTTCACCTTTGTTATGCAAAAGCAATCAGCTCAAATAATCAGGAGGAGCTACACAACTGTGGTAAATTCTATAATTTAAATCAGTTGTGGTGTGAAGTTATGCCATTCTGCAATAGTGCTTCATATCAAAAAACAAATTAATTCCACCGTCATAAATGCAAACAACCACCACATGGAATCAATTCTTAATCACAATTCTGATGCTCATTCACTGCCCTACTCTTCCATTCTAACCAGCATGTCTATGAAATTACTTGTAATGCATCTGGAGAAAACATACATATTGACATAATCTGTTACACACAACTGTAAGTTTGGTACACACCTAGAGGCAGTGCCATTCATATTTGCATGTACAACCAAAGCAACATGTGACATAGAGGTACCCTGATGAAAATTTTACATGGGAACAGGAGAAGTTTATTTAGCAACTCAGTTGAAATTTTTTAAAAAGTCATTCATGGGGCGTCAGTGTCACTGGGCCAGTATTTATTGCCTACCCTTAATTGCTCAAAGGTTGCCCATTGCTGTGGGTCTGGAGTCACATGCAGGCTAGACCAGGTAAAAATTCCTTCCCTAAAGAACATTAGTGAACCAGATGGTTCTTTTTTCTGATGATTGACAATGGTGTCATGGTCATCATTAGGGTCTTCGTTTCAGATTTTCATTGAATTCAAATTCCATCATCTGCCATGATGGGATTCAAAGATGCATCCATTAGGACATTACTTGGTAGTCTGCAAATAATAATCTAGCAACAATGTCATCGCCTCTGCATCAATCATGTTTCACATGTAACTCCCCAGGAACTCCATTCAGCTTCCTTCACTCCATATTCACTAATAGCTTTGACTAACTAAAATGTATCAACTTCAGTTTTGAAACTTCCAGTTGACCCAGCCCCACCAGCGTGTTAGGGAGAGAATTTTAAATTTCCACAATCCATGATGTGCAAAACACTATAATGGCCTAATTCTGATTGAACATTCTTTTATTTAACAAAGCTGATGGTCCCATACAAACACCCAAGAGTAAAGAGTAAAATCCATATAATCAAGATGATACTACATCTGACAATTAATTTCATTCCAAACCATTTAAAATATAAATTGTAAAAAACTTGTTTGATTTATGTGCAATGATTGTTAAATTCACTGCTTCAGGAGTAAGTTTAATTTCATGTGATACTTTAGATGCATATTAGTAACTGATACTGAATTCTTTATTGAATTACTCCCACTCCTCATATTATCTGCTGTATTCTTCACATTGCTCCCAATGCTTTCAGAATTTTTGCTGATGGCTGTTGTTTTATATCTAAGGAGTTGTGTGACCCCCACAAGAGCCTTTATAATGCTTGCCGTACAGTTTCTCAGCTGATGCTTAGCAATATGATGGGGAGAGTTGTGTTTAATCACACACAGAATCAAATATAAGCCTTGATTAATCTGCAGTAGCTTCCAAGCAGCTTGTTATCAAGTAAACATTTGGATTCCAAATTAGTTAAAGCAACCATTGGGAAATTATGGAAATATAAAAGCATTTGCAAATGCAAATTAAATATGGAATGTAAGTTAAGTGATTACAAAGTCTTGACAGCTCAATATATATTAGTTTCATCTGGTAGGTTCAAGACCATCTGTAAGGACTGGAGCATATAGTCAGGGCTGCCATTCTCTCTTTCTTCAGAAACCGTACCCCTCAGTGGGCATTGGTGACAGTGGACTTGCAGTTAATTTATTTTGCCCCGGGATCAAACTTAGCAAGGTACTTAATGGTTTGCCATTGCCTTCTACAGTATGGCTGACCAGGAGAGTCTCTTGTTGCCATCAAGCATATTGTGAGGATTTACAGGCTGAGGAGCAGCTTGCTTGGCTGTGACTTGAATGAACCTTCCTTGGCTATCAGGTCTTGGGGTGAGACTCAAAACTCAGAGCTTCTGGCTCAGAGGCAGGTATGCTACCCACAAGTACACAGTGCTCACATAGTAAGCTTTACGGTTTTGCTTTCCATTGCTATTTACTGGTTGCATTTGTAAATATGGCTGTCTGGAGAGAGAGGGAGAGAGATACCTGTGGAATGTCACATCTAAAGCTTCTAACGACAACCATTCAAAGTAAGTCAGGAGGGACTGGACTGTATTCTCTTGTGACTATAAAGATAATGAGGGGTTGAAGACCCACTGCCTGCAGCAATGAGTCTTTCAAAACACGGATTATGTCCAAAACTGCAGATTTTATGCTTTTTTTCTTCAAAGAATGCAGGGGTTAAGGCCAATTTCAATTCTACTGAAGTGTGCTAGTAGGACTGAGATTCTCATGTGCACCAGTGGGATAAGGTACCAATGTGTACTAGCCTCATTTTGAGCAATGCTGTGAAGATCGCAGTCTAACAACTATCCCCTAGTAACTCCTATATTGCAGGTAAATATCTCTCTTACTCTGAATACTAGCTAACTAGCGAAACAGACAAAGGGAAACAGGACAACAAAGGACTCTCTAATCCTAAACACTGGAATTCGATCACGATTGAAAGGAATCAATGTCATCATTGTCATGATGCTTGACATTTATGGGCTTGCGGTTACACCATTAATCCATCCACAAATCAGCACATTTGTAATTAATTTGGTCAATGGGTTTAGAATGTTTGGTGTGAAGAGTGGAAATATCACACTGTTGCAGTAGATGTTCTTTGAAAATGGGAATTGTGATGCATTGTATGCAATAACACTATACCTTGTGTCAAATATGCCACACCAGACCATGCGGTCCTTGATATGCAAAAGGTTAAGAAATTTTTTTTTAGTCCAACTGGCTGCAACCAACAACTGAAATAGTCAATCACCTACAGGGTTTCACAGCTCTTAATGGCTTTCTGTGCCAAACATTTACAAAAGTAACTTGAATTTGGCCACCCTATCCATCCAACAATTCAAATTTGCAAGGCAGGGTATTCTCACAACATTTCTTCCAGTAGAATATTCATTTTGAAACCTCTTGTGTTCCAGATTTCCTTACAAACCGCTGATTGGACTATTTAAAGGAAGGGAATTAGCAAGGAAAAGAAAGGATGAGTTGAATATGTACGTGAAGTATTTGCTGCATAGTTCACCTGCTGTTGCAAAGGTAAGTCATACAAAACTTCAATTAAGATATATGGGAGCAAAACTGGGATGGCCCCTGAAAATGGGTGCAGTATTCATAGAACAAAGAACAGTACAGCACAGTACAGGCCCTTCGGCCCACGATGTTGTTCTGAACTTTCACCCTAAACCTAAGATCTATCTAACCTCCACCCCTACCTTATACTATCATCCATATGCCTACCTAATAGCCGCTTAAATGCCCCTAATGAGGCCAACTCCACTACCCTCTCCGGCAATGCATTCCACGCCCCTACCACTCTCTGAGTAAAGAACCTATCTCTGATGTCTCCTCTATATCTACCTCCCCTAACTTTAAAACTATGCCCCCTCATAATAGCTACCTCCACCCTAGGAAAAAGTCTCTGGCTGTCCACTCTATCTATACCTCTGATCATTTTGTACACCTCTATGAAGTCACCTCTCATCCTTCGTCGTTCTAAAGAGAAAAGTCCTAGCTGTCTCAATCATTCCTCGTAAGACATTCCCTCCATTCCAGGCAACATCCTGGTAAATCTCCTCCAAACCTTTTCCAACACTTCCACATCTTTCCTGTAATGAGGCGACCAGAACTAGACACAATACTCCAGGTGTGGCCAAACCAGGCTTTTGTATAGCTGGAGCATAACTTCACGGCTCTTGAACTCGATCCCTCCATTAATGAAAGCTAACACACCATACGCCTTCTTAACAACTCTATCCACCTGGGTGGCCTGTACACAGTACAGTACACAGTAATTTGTGTCTGCTTATTGCAATGCAGGAAACACACCTCTTGTTCATTCGACTAATCTCTGCACTAACTCATGCTAAACGTTCACTGGCTAGACAAATCTGTCAGGACCAGCATCATGAGTGACTAGAACCGCTTAAAGCTATCCTGCACTGCTTGAAGTTAGCCTGTAACTTGTATAGGGGACACACATTATACCTGGTTGTTGATGTTGATGATAAACTGACCTGGAAACACTGCAGAATAGAACAACATAAGATAAAGGTTTTTGGTGCTGCTCAGGAGATATAGGTATGCCACAAGGAGAGAAGGAGGGATTTCATGCTCTCCAGACCAAGACTCAGCAGGCAATAGAGGTTGTTAGCCATGGAGGCCAATAGCAGGTATCCAGCCCCAGGGATCAGTTCCAAATAAGTTTATTGAACTTGTATGAGTCGTCAAGGTCAAAAATATATCTTCAAATGTCACGTCCTACCAACTGCACCATTAATCTCTTTCCTATGCATCAGTCACCCATCAATCACACAGAAATAACCTCTAACAGGGAGGACTTATACCTAACATTCCTACACTTCCCTGTATCTTCAAACACGTAACACTACTCCAAGCTTCACACACTCATCTCATACCTTCCGTCAGCTATTCAACTAGGACAGCCACATTAGCCAAACAGATGTCACCACATTCACTTGCCCATCTCTTACAGGAAGTCACAATTGGAGGGAGCAGGAACTAGCTGGAGGTTATTATCATTTTTAAGTTTTCAGTCCCACCAGCAGCCATGGTCTCAGTCATGACTGCTTCAGTGCTGTTAAGCACTATTCTCCTCCATTGGGTGAGGATATATAGCCTTTTCACTTTTCTCCAGTCAGGTTCTGTGGCCACCAGTTGTGAACTGGGAGGCGAGTGTGTCAGTGAGTGGGTGCAATATGTTTGATTGACGTAGTTGAATAGCTGTGTCCACACTGTGAGGTGTGGATGTGAGGCTAGTAGCAGAGGTAATTGTGAGGTGTAGTGTATGAATCTTAGCTTTGAGTTGTGACTGAGAGAGCTTGTTGGTAGCTGAGAGTTGGCTGTGGTGTATTAAGCAGTGTGAGAGGCTAATGATGTAGGTGGGAGGGTATGATCTATGAACATTCAGATTTCTTTGACTCTGAGCATTCGTGTGAGGTCATCAAACATCTAGCAGCACCATATTCATGCCTGTGCGGCTACACAAATGGCACTGCCAACTGTTTTTTTGGTACGTGGGATGTGGGTTTCACTGGTTGGAACAGCATTCATTACCCATCAAGTGCCTTACTAGGATAATCTTGATTGCAGTTAAAATTCAACCACATTGCTGTGGGTCTGGAGTCACATGTAGACCAGACCAGGAAAGGATGGCAGATTTCCTACCCCTGATGGGCATTAGTGAACCAGCTGGGTTTATAACAACTGACAATGGTTACTTGGTGCCATGAGACTGGCTTTTAATTCCATATTTTTTATTGAATTCAAATTGCACCTTCTGCTATGGTCAGATTTGAATCCACGTGCCCAGAACATCAACCTGGGCCTCTGGATTACTAGCCCCCTCTATTTTCTCCCACTGCCTTTTGACAGTGTTCATCTATCTCTGTGAACAAAATACCTCTTTCTTCCTCCTCACCTGCCATTCACCCTTCAATACTGCCTCAGCAAATCATGGAGACCACTCTCTGCTTTATTCTTCCATTCTTGACACTTTATCAGGGGAAAGCTCACTGCAACATGACTTCCAACACCTAATCTGGTTAAAATGATCTCCTGTTGAAGAGTTTGAAGCCAGCACTAAGTAGCACAGACTGCTTAAACCTTGTGATTTTACTCAAGCATACAATTCCTCAACAGGGCCCTGAGGGTAGCCACACATATAATCATATAAATGAGCAGACAACTCCAAGTTTCCCAAATAGAAAATAATCCCTATGCCTATTTTCAGGCTTTATCGAAGTCTATAATCCATCTCTGTGCATTTATTCATTCAGATATCTATCTCACCAGAAAATTGGTGTTTGCATTGATCCTGTGCTCCCAGTTTTAACCTCTCTTTAATTGAATTTGTACCATCTGTCTTAATATTGATCTTACAATGCTCCAGCCATGATTAATCTCAACGCCAATCCAAAGAATATGAAAGACTTCTCTGCAAGCATTACTGATATATAGAAAAAATCTTGTAGTGAACAAGACTACGAGAAGCCCATGTGTAGAATAAACATATGACCTACATCAGATGCCTGAGGTATAACACTTATCAAACTTAAAATGCAGCGTCAATTCACAGCGAAATAAAAATGATGGAGCACATATTTTACTGTTAATTCCATTCAACACATAGAATATTCATCTTACAATAATGAGAGCTATCTAAATGAAGAGGCTAGGATCAAAATTCTCCAATATTGCTGCTGTTAGATGTAATGGCTGAGAATTGACTGTGGTGTTTGGAGTTTTGTGAGCAGCACGCATTTACTATTTGGCGGAAAAGGAGAAGTGAGAACTCTCCCAGTGGTGCCCTTTGTTCAATCCAAACCCATGCCCATATTACTGTCCAGTTCTGTGCACATTTAGTTTAGGCCAAATGTAATTCAGTACATAAAAACATAAGAAATAGGAGCAGGAGGAGGCCATCTGGCCCATCGAGCCTGCTCTACCATCGCTGATCTTTCTGTGGACTGAGCTCCACTTACCTGCCTGCTCACCATAACCCTTAATTCCTTCACTGTTCAATAAATTATCTTTGCCTTAAAAATATTAAATGAGCCTCAACTGCTTCACTGGCCAGGGAATTCCACAGATTCATAACTCTTTAGCTGATGCTTACTTAGAGGCTATGCCCCCTACTTCTAGTTTCACCTGCCAGTGGAAACACCCTCCTTGCTTCTATCATATCTATTCCCTTCATAATTTTATATGTTTCTATAAGATTACTCCTAAATTCCCGTGGGTATAGTCCCAGTCTACTCAATCTCTTCTCATAAGCCAACTCTCTCAATTCTGGAATCAACCTACTGAATCTCCTCTGCACCCCCTCCAGTGCCAGTTCATCCTTTCTCAAGTAAGGAGACCAAAACTGTACACAGTATATCTCTTCCTGAACCAAAGGGTTTGGTAAGGAAAAATCTTATCAAAGATGGTCAGGAATTCAAGCGTAGCGAACAAAGGTAGAGTTTGCCTGCTGTAGTTGGTTTACCAATGCTGTGTTCATTTCGAGAGCATTTATCCTGACTGGCTTTGGTGATCAAGATAAATAGAGGCATTTGGAAAGCAGAGCTCAAAGTTCAACTCTTCTGATTATGAATCATCCAGTGGAAGCAGCAGCCGTTAAGACTAAGTGAAGCAAGTAGCAATCTATAACCTATCTGCCAGCTGAAATTCTCAATCTCACTTTGTTTTCCAAAGCCCTTCAGCGGTATTCTACTCAGTATGCAGTAGAGATATCAACTGATCTGTAAATAGTCAGCAGTTTGTGTGAGGTATTCAGTTTATAGATGGACACATTTTGATCGCAATGAAATGAAACACATCAGTAATGGTTACCCTGTGTGGTAGAGTACTGTACATCTTTTGGGCAAAGGTCATCATACACTCATCTTGTGGACACTGAATTGAATAGAACAATATGCAACCTAACTGGAACTTTACACTCAACTCCTCGCCCCAGCTTTCTGTCCTTGTAAACGCCACTCCCCCACACAGCCACTCATGTCATTCCTAGTTCCTGAGAGTCTAAGCTATTATTATCTAGCCAACATATCTCATACTTGTCAGCACCACTATGCAATAAATGATATCTTGTTGATAAGTTAAATGCTTCTGTTAAGATTCCTAGTGATTAATTCTCCACCACTATAAGCCAAATAGGCCCTTTAAACCTGAATAGAAAAGATTGGTATCATGATCTGGAAAATATCCAGGCTTGGACCAAAAAGTGGCAAGAAATATTCGAGCCACATAAATGCCACACAATAACCACTTCCAAAATTGGAGAATCTAACTGTCATTCTTAGACATTCAATGGTGTTGCCATCATTGAATTCCCCACTGGCAATATTCTGGGGATTACCATTGTCCAGAAACTGAACTTGACTAGCCATATAAAAATTGTGGTTACAAGAGCAGGTAAAAAAGTAAGAATCCTGCAGCGAGTAACTCACCTCCTGACTCCTCAAAGCCTGTCCACCATCTACAAGGCACAAGTCATGAGTGTGATGGAATATTCCCCACTTGCCTGGATAAGCACAGCATCAACAACACTCAAGAAGCTTGACACCATCAAGGACAAAGCAACCCACTTCACTGGCAACACATCCACAAACATTCAATCCCTCCACCACTAACACTTAGTATTAGCAGTGTGTGCTATCTACAAGATGTACTGCAAAAATTCATCAAGGATCCTTAGGCATCACCTTCCAAACCCACAAACACTTCCATCTGGAACACCAAGAGCAACATGAAAAATGGGAACACCATCACCTGTAAGTTTCCCTCCAAGCCACTCACCATCCTGACTTGGAAATACATCACCATTCCTTCACTGTGGTTGGGTCAAAATATTGGAAATCCCACCCTAACAGCATTTAAGTCTACCTAAAGCACACGGACTGCAGCATTTCAAAAAGGCAGCTCACTACCATCTTCTCAAGGGCAACTAGGAATGGGCGATGAATGCTGGCCCAACCAGCAATGTTCACATCTCATGAATGAATTAAAAAAGACAACATTCTATGAAGAGTGTATAAATATACCATGGCTTTTCTATCATTTAGTGTATTAATTGCCTGATAGATCATGATTAATCCATGTTGATGTTACAGTGTTTATTATACAAAAGTCTTAAAATCTTGACTTCTTGAGTTGGTCACTGGGAAATTCATATCTTTTTGAAATGCTATTAGTCTCCACAGGGATCAAAACACGAGGGGGCAACGGGAAGATTAATAGCATATTATTTGACTTGTTGATTGCTTAGAGATTGCAATCTGGGCGAACTTCAACAATACACCATCTGGAGGGCCAGAGTATTAATAATAGCAACTTATGGATTTCCATATTACTCTATGTATGTTCAGACTCAGGAATTTGCTGTCAGTTTCAGTGGAATGGCAGAAAATGCTGACTTTTTTTTCTGCATTACTCCTGCAAATGCTATCTCTTTAACCATATTGTTAGGCTTCTTATCTGAAAAGAAAAAAGTTGAGCCTAAACATTCAGGGTTAACAAAAGGACTTCAGACAAGTCCTTGCGTCACAGGTTTGTTCATAAAGTTTCACTGTATTCTGGACAGAATTAACTGAGTGTGCTGACTTTCCTGCCTGAATTTCCAGTTTTGTTTTTTTCTTTATTCATTCATGGGATGAGGGCATCACTGGCCAGGCCAGCATTTACTGCCCATCCCTAATTGCCCAGAGGGCAGTTAAGAGTCAACTACATTGCTTGGGTCTGGGGGTCAGACCAGGTAAGGATGGCAGTTTCCTTCCCTAAAGGACATTAGTGAACCAGATGGGTTTTCCCGACAATCAACAATGGATTCTTGGTCATCCTTAGACCCCTAATTCTTGTGCTAACAATGCCAAAGAGGAAATACAATATACACAACATCTTAATATGAATTTTTGTTATCAAATTTTGCAGAGTGATCTTGTCTACACATTTTTTCATCGTTTTCCCAATGACGAAAGACCCTCTGTGTTGCCATCCCCAGGTAGGCAACCGCACACAATCTTGTTTGGCATTCTACTCATTACTGCTTGGCAAAGTCTGTTTAACTTAAATAGCAAATACCTGAAAGTTAGAAAAATGCTTTCAAACCATGGTTGATCAGTTCTGATGCACTCGCTTGTTTTTCAGCAGCCGTATCTCACACTGGGAAACTATCAGCAAGCACACAACTCTGCATCTCCTGGGAGAACGGCAAGCTGTCTGTGATGGTGAAGCATGTCAAAAACATTGTACGTACATAGCTTACATTCGCCAGGTGTTCAAACCTGCTGTACTGCAGATTTCCCTCTCAGCAGAGGTACAGCTGTGAAAGTGCCTTGTTTGTATAGGACAATGTAATGTAGATTTTGGGGCCAAGTGGACCCTATCATGCTGGGAGTCAAATCATTTGGTCACATGGCACAGAAATCATAGCTGTCCTCCTGCTTCCTATGTATTTGAATCAATTTTTTTGGATATTCATTCATGGCATGTGGGTATCGCTGGCTAGGCTCCATCCCTAATCGTCTGTGCAATGGTGGTGTGCTGTCTTTCTTGAACTGCTGAAGTCAAATTTAATTAAATACAGAAAGATATTTTATTTAAACCATGCCCTTCGCCAGCTCAGAGCATCACAGAGTGCTTTACAACTAATGAAGTTTATTTTGTCGTGTCATCAGTGCAGGGTAGGCAGAAGCAAGCTGCCACAATGACCAAATCTTTGGGTTATTTTAGATGTTGATTGAGGAACACACATCGCTCAGGGTGTGGGGAAGAACTCACTTTCTCATCCTTGTGTAGTCCTTGCAATCTTTTTACACCCACTAGCCATGGTTTGTTGTGTCAACTAAAGGTTGAAGCCCTGACAGTACAGTGCTCCCTTTGTACACAGAACACAGAACATAGAACTGTATGGCGCAGGAGCAGACCCTTCAGCCCACAATGTTGCACCAAACATGATACCAAATTAAACTAATCCCTTCTGCCTGCCATTGGTCCATATCCCTCCATTCCTTGCATATTCGTGAGCTTACCTAAAAGTCCCTTAAACACCCCTATTGTATCTGCCTCCACTACCACCCATGGCAGCACGTTCCAGATTCCTACCACTCTCTGTGTAAAAAACTTGCCCTCACTTCTCCTTTGAACTTTCCCCCTCTCACCTTCAATGCTTGCCCCCTAGTAACAGACATTTCCCTCTGGGAGAAAGGTTCTGACTGTCAAACCAATCAATGCATCTCATAATTTTATAGACTTCCATCAAGTCTCCCCTTAGCCTTGCCACGCCAGAGAAAACAACCCAAGTTTTTCCAACCTCTTCTTATAGCTCATACCCTCTAATCCAGGCAGCAGCCTGATAAAAACCAAAAGAACTGTGGATGCTGTAAATCAGGAACAAAAACAAAGTTGCTGGAAAGGCTCAGCAGGTCTGGCAGCATCTGTGAAGGAAAAAACAGAGTTAACATTTTGGGTCCGGTGACCCTTCCTCAGAACACTGCACCCTCTCCAAAGCCTCCACATCCTTCCTATAACGTGACAACCAGAATTGAACGCAATATTCTAAGTGTGGCCTAACCAAAGTCTTACACTGTACTGAAGTCTGAGCACAGACTGTTTGCATTTATAAGCTTGCCGTATGACTGGATCACTTCTTGACGTGCTCAAGCAATCTGGAGAAGAGGATCTCAATCATGACACTCACTCGCTCTCAGCGCATCTGCACGTCTTCACGAGAGGTCACAGGAGCCTGGGATGATATTGTTCAGATTGCTACTTTGATATCTCTCTCTTCACCATTAAAAATTATACCTTTTGTTAAGAAGCTGTAGGCTGCCTTTAAGTATCAGCTGATCCATCACATTTCCTGCTATCACAATGGATTAGTGTAAAGGGGCATGATGAATCTACTGCACAAGAAGAAAGTCTAACCAAGGAGATGGAATGTATCTTCCACCAAATATACCTGGCGAACAGCTAGAAGCCCCAAGCCTAGCCGATATATACTGCATACAACCATTTACCCCCACTCTGCGGTGATAAGATGGTTCCACATGCCATCTCCAGTTAGATGAATGGGCAGCAATGAAAGTTGATCAATGTAAAGTGAGCTGTACAACCAACTTATAATGAGCACTGCAAGTCAACTGAATGGAGGTTATCTTTTTATTCATCGAATACTACACACAGTGAATACTACAGATAGGTTGTAATGTGCAGAAGTAAAGGGTCTTTTGCTGCTGATTGCTTCACTTCCTGGGGTCAGGATTAGAACTCTGTCCAAAGAAAATACAGGACATACTAATGATTATCTTATGTCCCTCTGAATGATAAGAAATACTTCAAGCAGAAGCAATCAGTAAAGTGATGGAAGGTGTCATCAGCAGTGCTAGCAAGCAGCGCCTGTTCAGCAGTAACCTGCTCAGTGACACCCAGTTTGGGTTCTGCCAGGGCCACCCAGCTCCTGAACTCCTTACAGCCTTCATTCAAACATGGACAAAAGGGCTAAATTCCAGAGGTGAGAGGAGAGTGACAGCCCTTGACATAAAGGCTGCATTCAGCTGAGTGATGCATCAAGGAGTCAAACTGGAATCAATGGGTATCAGGGTCAGACTCTTGGTGGTTGGAGTCATACCTGACACATAGGAAGTTGGTCATGGTTACTGCAGATCAGTCATCTCAGCTCCAGGACATCTCTGCAGGAGTTCCTCAGGGTAGTGTCCTAGGCCTAACGATCTTTAGCTGCTTCATCAATGACCTTCCTTCAATCATAAGTCAGAAGTGGGGATGTTCATCGAAGATTGCATAATGTTCAGCACCATTCACGACTTCTCAGATACTGAAGCAGTCCATGTTCAAATGCAACAAGATCTGGACAATATCCAGGCTTGGGCTGACAAGTGGCAAGTAACATTCGTGCCACACAAAATGCCAAGCTATGACCATCACCAACAAGATACAATGTAACCACTACCCCTTGACATTCAATGGTGTTACCGTCACTGAACCCCCCACTGTCAACATCCTGGTGGTTATCATTGACCAGAAACTCAACTGGATTTGCCACATAAACACAGTGACTGCAACAGCAGGACAGAGGCTAGGAATACTGCAGCGAGTAACTCACCTCCTGACTCCTCAAAGCCTGTCCACCATCTACAAGACACAAGTCAGGATTGTGATGGAGTATTCCCCACTTGCCTGGATGAGTGCAGCCCCAACAACACTCAAAAAGCTTGCACCATCCAGGTCAAAGCAGTCCACTTTATTGGCATTACAGCGACAAGCATCCACTCTCTCCACCACCAACGCTCAGTAGCAGCAGTGTGTACTATATACAAGATGCACTGCAGAAATTAATGAACGATCCTTAGACAGTATCTTTCATATCCATGACCACTTACATCTGGAACGAAAGGGCAGCAGATACATGGGAATACCATTATGCACAATTTTCCCTCCAAGCCACTCACCATCCTGACTTGGAAATATATCACTGTTCCTTCAATTTCGCTGGGTCAAAATCCTGGAATTCCCTCCCTAATAGCATTGTGGGCTAACCCACAGCAGGTGGACTGCAGTGGTTCAAGAAGGCAGCTCACTACCACCTTCTCAAGGGCAACTAGGGACAGGCAATAAATGCTAGCCAGCCACAGATGCCCACATCCCACAAATGAATTTTTAAAAAATTCTACCATATGCTGGCATTCTCAGTTCTGCTGAATTTGCTGAAGTTACACAATGAGTCAAATGGTAACATGTATCAGAATTAGTAACTGCACAAATTACAACTTTACTTACAATCAATGATACATCCTGATCAGAAATCAACAAGCAGAAATCAACAGCAATGCCCTGTATATGCAGTGACTTAGATTTCTAATGTTCTTTTAATGCAGTGAAATATCCAAAAGGGTTTCACAGACATGTAATCAGGCAAAATGTGACACCAAGTTATATTTGGACTGGTGACCAAAAGCCTGGTCAAAGAAATTCGTCTTAAGGATCATCTCACAGGAGGGTGGATGTATGGAAGATATTTTGCAGGTAGCTAAATGCTTCAATAGCTGAAGGAACAATTGTCAATTTGTAGCAAAGAAAATTGGAGAACCTCAATAGATCGGATTTGAAGGAGTACAGAGATTTTGGAGAGTTCCAAAGCTGGAGGAGATTACAAGATCTCAGGAAAGATGAGACCATGGAGTAATTTGAACACGGGATAAGCAAAGTGTTCATCCAGACAGAAAAGAAATGCTCCCTCTTGAGGTATCTGCAAAGCCACAATATAGAACCTAATGCTGTTGACGGTTTTGGTCCAGTATCGCAAAGTGATGCCAAAGTAGGAATGCTTTCAAAGGATCTTATTTATTTTCTCCTGTGCATTGCCTCTGGCCCTCAGACTTTTATAATGGAGTACTGCAGTTTTTAAAAGTCTATAAGGGATAGAAGTTTGCAAATAAATGCTGTATGTAAAGTGATTTTTTTTAGTTTAATGGCTCATTCGTCTCCCTTAGTGAATGAAACCTGCATCCCAGCAGCAGCGGTGACGGTAAGTGCATCCTCAGTGTCTATGGTGTTGGCCTCGGAAATGGAGGCGGTGGCATCAGCAGCGGTGTTGATGGCGTTCGCTGTCCCGGAAGTGGTCTACCCGGCGGCGGAGGATGTGATGTCATCCGTGGTTGCTCCAACAGTGGCCACATGGCCAATGGCAGCGGGCACATTGTGGGGAAGGTCCTGGGTAGGGTTGGGGATTTGGGAGGTGGAGGAAGCCCGTTTTGGGTGGTAGGCACCAGTAAGTTTACTGTACTTACGGTTTTTTGTGTCCAATAAAGCTGAGTAGAATTGTGAGTTCAGGTTGTGGATCCTACGAAGAATAAAAAACAGGAGAGGTCCTTTGCAGGTCTGGGAGAGGGAGGCTCTGAGCTGGGGTAGGCTTGATTGTAGTGCCAGGAGATGCCAGCGCATTGCTGCGAGTGTGTGTTTCAGGAGTCGCAGGGAGAAACGCTTCTGAAGGATCTCAATGTTCTGAATGTAGACATTGTCACGGTTGGGGCCAAATTGGGAAGGCCTGAATGTGGACTGTAGTCCATTGGGGATGATCTGGTTCCGTAGGCAGGTACTAAGAAAGGTGATGTGGCTGTAGTACCTGGTTTGCTTCAGGACGTGGTCGAGCAGTTTCAAGGCCGAAGAGATTACGAGAGAGTTGCAGTGGGAAAGAGATCCACTGAGGTTTTTCCGGAGGGAGGAGGGTAACTTCTTCAGGGTA